TTCTAAGCATACTAGTTAAGTGTAAAAAAATGTTGAAAGTTTATTACTGTGTAAAGATTTTTTTTTAAATAATGGATATAGTTTGCAATACTTGCCTGTCACGTTCACATTTTAGTTATCCTTTGGATGTTACCAGACGAAGGATGCAGTTGAGTATGATGAGTCCAGAAACTCAGAAGTTCAGGTGAGTACATGTATCAGTGCTACATATATTCATGAAGGCCACTTAACAGCTTTCTTCATATTATAGTATTATAATTATTTTGTATGCTATATTTGTTCAACAAAAACAAGCAAAATGTTACAGTTATTCAGTGAATCATTGCCTTTAGCAAAAAAATTAAGATTGTATGGTATATAGCAGCTTAAACTTTCAAATGCTTAACCCTATGCACATGGGGAGGGGGTCAAATTGTGCATGCCATGAACCTTTACAGAGTGCCATTCAACATATGTATTTGATGTCAGGGTTATCACTTATTCATTTTACCCTACATTTCTGATTTAGTGACAGTTTATGTTAGAGTAGATAAAATACCAAATACAATATACGGGATACTGATAAAACTAAATATGCATTTTGGATTTCTATAAGTTATGCATGCACAATATGCCTACTGTACAATGGACAAAAATATTTTTATTCTTCACATAGATATAAACTTGCACTCTGACTTGTCAGAGTCTGTATCAGACTGATGTTGTTAGTTCACAGATATATCTTGAGTTCAAATACTTTTGTATCATGATGAAATTTTATAGAATGGATGGCAATTGCCTGTTGTAGAGACACAAGTGTAGAGGATGACATTTCGAAAAATCTTCTGCTTTTATCTTCAGGACGTTTTCTGAAGAAGAAAGGCGGAAGACTTTTGAAACGTCGTCCTCTACACTTGTGTTTCTACAACCAGCAGTTGCCATCCATTCTATTAGGTTGTCAAGAAATTAATGTTGCATTTGGGAACACTTTCATTAACCACCCCCTAAAAACGTTCATCACATATAA